TTGTCTCATGCGGCTTAGCGCAGTGGCCGCAGAGAGGTGCAGACTTGCAGTTTTTGGCGAAATGTCCAAATGCCAGACATTTAAAGCATTGTAGGACTTTTACATAATCAGAGACACGGCAAGCATAGTAATTTACATATACATGTTTGTCGCTTAATAACAGCGAGCGAATATGTGGAGTTACCTCCATAACACAGTTAGTCGTTTTGCGCCCTTCTTTTTCTGGAAACAAGTAAACAACCCTAACTTGCGCCAATTCCGTCGATGATACATCCCTTAAATTTAGTGCTATGATATCCGACTTGATGTCCTCCCTTGTCATGTGACAAGGGACACCATGTATTAGAACCCGCGGATTAATCTTGCTTTCTTGCGCCAATGTGAGACCAGCTTTCTCCAAAACCCGCGAATCCTTAATCTTGTCAAGGTCAACTGAGTGCGCCTCAATTCGAACACCATTATTCCTTGTAGCCGATATCCGTTTAACTTTGAGATCGAACTCCGATGGCTTCAAGATACGTTGCACCGCATTTCTTGTATCGCTTGACGATGATATTTCTGTTTTTCCTGCACTAGGAGTAATAATTAAATTTGTGGACTTTGAAATATTTAGAGTATGCCCTCTCGCCATACGTATCCTAGAAGGGTCAGAATCCACTACACTCGCATAGCTACGCTTATCTGCACTCTGAGACATAGACCCACGAGATACAGAGCCGTTATTAGAATTTTTACAATTTTTACAGTAATCAGTGGTGCGTGATAACAAAGAGTCTAACTTCTTAGACACAGTATTACTGACAAAGTTCTTCACCTCACTAGACAAGGAGGATGCCGATTTTCTATTCTCCAATAATAATAAGTACCCAGCCGAGAGCTCGAGGAATGCCTCCTTGCACTCTCTGAATGCGAGTTCAATCTGAGCTCTTCTATCCAACGTATCTTTACTGCTTAGCAATAATTTAGATACATTATCGTTGTGTTCTTTTACCATGGTACGCAACTCTAAGACCCTGGACGTATTAAACGTGGGCAATCCGTCATTTACGGTGGCACATTCAACAAAGTCGTCTTCAATGATGTTATTTTCCGATGCTTCTCCATTTCGCGCCTCACCATGCCTCTCGGCATTCCGCCCCGACAGCTTACGGCCGCCAGTGTTACCCGACCGCCAGAAGGAGCCAATCAGCTCGTCGCCCGGTCACGTGGTGCCGCACGATGACAATCGAAAAATCCGGATTCCTCTACTAAAACGCGATGCAGGCCGGAGTAGAAAAAATCCATTTACCACATTGTAGAACTCATCCCAGGCCAAGACGATTTCACAAAATGAGCAGAGTTTGCCCCAAAAGTGCCAGGCACTGAAAAAGAAC